CCTAGGCTAGAGTGCAGTGGCACAATCTCAGCTCACTGCAACCTCCGCCTCCTGGGTTCAAGCAATTCTCCTGCCTCAGCCTTCCAAATAGCTGGGATTACAGGCACGCGCCACCACACCTGGCTAATTTTTGTATTTTTAGTAGAGATGGGATTCTGCCACGTTGGCCAGGCTGATCTCAAACTCCTGACCTCAGGTGATCCCCCCACCTCGGCCTCCCAAAGTGCTGGGATTACAGGTGTGAGCCACCACGCCCAGCCTGTGTCTTAGTTTTTAGTAGAAAGTTTAAAAAGTTTAAAAAAAACCAAAAAAACAAAAACAAGGTAAAAGCATATAGCTGGGCGTGGTGCCTCTTTCCTGTAATCCCAACGCTTTGGGAGGCTGAGGCAGGCAGATTGCTTGAGCCCAGGAGTTCCCGACCAGCCTGGGCAACATAGTAAAATCCCTTCTCTACAAAAAATACAAACATTAGCTGGGCATGGTGGCACATGCCTATAGCCCCAGCTACTTGGGTGGCGGAGGCGGGAGGATCACTTGAGCCCAGGAGTTCCCGACCAGCCTGGGCAACATAGTAAAATCCCTTCTCTACAAAAAATACAAACATAAAAAAAAAAAAAAAAGATAACAGCGGGCCATGGCTGCCTGGCTCCCTTCTTCAGTATCTTGTGAAGAAGCTCACATAACTGGATACGGAGAGAGAATGGGATCACGAATTTCCACCTGCCTGTCGTCTGGCCTCAGCAGTGAGCAGCACGTGCTAGTGTTGCTTTCGCTCTTTGCTTCCTCATGGACTTCTTTTGTTCATCCGCCTCTCCCCAGATGGCCTGTCCACTGGTAGTTAGGCCCTGGACCCCCATCCTCACCTCCCATGGCTGTCCTCTGCGGGTTCCTGGAGCAGCAGCGTGCTGGTTTGGGTTCCTGTGTGTAGGCATGTCCCTTGGAAGTCAGAGACGTCCTGCAGTGGCCGTTTGGAGGGAGGCCGGGGGGAGCTGATGAGAATAGGGCTACAGGTGGAGACTGGCAGGGGTGCCTCATGGTGGAGCTGGGTAGCTGGTACCCTTGTGGTAGGGTAAGGCCGGTCTCTGCTTGGGGTGGGTTTGGAGATAGCTGTTGATTCTTGGGCGGGGCCCAGCTCTGGGCAGGGCTGGGCGGGGTGGAGTTAATGGCTCCCTTCCCCTCCCCAGTACCCTGTGCGTCCAGCCTCGATGACCTACGATGACATTCCGCACCTCTCAGCCAAGATCAAGCCCAAGCAGCAGAAGGTGGGGCCGCCCGCTGAGGGCAGTGGGGGCGGGAAGAAAGGGTGATGAGGGTGGGAGCCGGTGGAGGCAAGAAGCTCAGAGAAGGGGCCACTGGAGAATTAGGAGAACCAGCAGCTCCCAGGGCCTTGAAAGCTGAAGAAGGAAAGTGTCCAGAAAGACAGGGCAGCTCCAGAGAGGTCAGGGAGGCACAAGGCTGAGGAATTAGAGGATGGGACCAGATGTGAGCTTAGGTTCCCAGGGTATGATGGCGGCAGGCGAGTGAACATGGAGTAGGTCTGATAGGAAGAGAATCTAGCGTCTGTCCATGGAGGGTCTGCAACTCTAGCTCCTGCAGCCACATGGAAGTGCCATCCTGGTATTGCCAGTTCTGCTGGCTTTTCAAGAGAAGTGGGAAATAAGGATTTTTGTGAGAAATCTCTTGATTTTTCAGTGTTGGCACCTAATTTAGACCCTTGGGAGTGAAGTAGAGGACAAACAAGATTACCGGACTGTCCGCTTCCTCCCACAAAAAAAAAAAAAAAAATTGTGACATTTTTGTTGGAATTTGGGTTTGTGGCCCTTGGTGTGGACTGAAGTCCAGGGGCGCTTGTGGACATGTGTCAGTCCCGCTTCTGGGCAGGGACCTGGTCAGGAGGTAGCCATGGTGGGGTTGGGGTGTCCCTTGGGGAGCCATGCCTTGGGGTCCTCATAGCTGGCGGGGATGCTTGGTGCTTCCAGGTAGAGCTTGAGATGGCCATCGACACCCTGAACCCCAACTACTGCCGCAGCAAAGGAGAGCAGATCGCGCTGAACGTGGACGGGGCCTGCGCCGACGAGACCAGCACGTATTCCTCGTGAGTTCCCGGCCCCAAGCCTGTCCGGTTTCCCTGTGTTCACACAGGAGCCTCCCAAAGACCTTAAAGACATTGACCCCCTTTGCCCCGTCACTGGGCTCCCCACCAGCGTCCCAGCCTTTGGAGGGCTGGTCCTGTCTCAGACCCGACCCTCCCTGAGCTAACTGGTCCCAGAGCTCCCGCCCACTCCTCGTCTCTTGGTCTACAAACAAGGCCATGGATTTTCTCATCCCCAGGCTCCGCTCCTGAGACCCGCGTAGGGTACCCTGCGGCCTTGGTCCCTGACTGTGGCACTTCAGAAGGTGTCTGGGGGGTGGAGTGCGCTGTGGCCACAGGCCCTGGCTCAGAGCTGCCTTCCCCTGTGATGTTGCTTCTCCCTGTGCTCCAGGAAGCTGATGGACAAACAGACCTTCTGCTCTTCCCAGACCACCAGTAACACATCCCGTTATGCCGCTGCACTCTACAGGCAAGGTACCCGGGGCTGGGCGTCCCATGGTGGGGACATGGCATTGTGGGGGCTGGGCAGGGAGAGAACCTCCCCAGCCTGGTGTCCATCTCCCACCTGCCCTGAAAGCTAGACACCTGCAGGAGCCGGGCAGGTGTGGAAATAACAGAAATGACACATTGTCAGGGGATTGGAAGTGGCCACCTTTGGGGCCTGCTGGTTGGACACTGCCTGACTAGATGGGGTGGGGCTCCAAGTTCATTTGTCCTCCCGGGACACAGATACATACAAGTAGCATAATATAAGTTTGGGGACAGAATTTTGTCTTTAAATACAAAGCTTATGACAGAGCAATTCCATTCCTAGGCATCATCTATCCAAAAGAAATGAAAACATGTGTCCACACAAAACCATACACAGGTGTTCACAGTAGCATCTTCATGATAGCCAAAATGTGAAACAACCCAGATGCCCATCCGCTGGATTCATGGAGAAACAGAATGTGGTCCATTCACGCAATGGATGTTATTTGACCACGGAAAAGAATGAAGCACCGATGCTACCACGCAGATGAACCTTGAGAACATGGTGCTAAGTGAAAGAAGCCACGGGCTTCCTCACTCGCAGCTACGCGCTGTGTGCTTATGTCTCAGTCAGCGACCAACCACATACTCAACGGTGGTCCCAAAAGGTTATAATGGAGCTGAAGAAGTGGCTCACCTAGTGATATCTTAATGAGCCTGACCTTGTGTAGGCCTAGGCTAACTCGTATGCTTGTGTCCTAGTTTTTTGTTTGTTTCTTTTGTTTTGAGACAGTGTCTCGCTCTGTCGCCTAGGCTAGAGTGCAGTGGCACAATCTCAGCTCACTGCAACCTCCGCCTCCTGGGTTCAAGCAATATTCTCCTGCCTCAGCCTTCCACAATACGCTGGATTACAGGCACGCGCCACCACACTGGCTAATTTTTGTATTTTAGTAGAGATGGGATTCGTGCCACTACGTTGGCCCCAGGCTGATCTCAAACTCCTGGAGCCTCAGGTGATGCCCCGCCACAGTCGGCCTCCCAAAGTGCTGGATTCAGGCTGTGACGCACCACGCCCAGCCTGTGTCTTAGTTTCTTA